AAGGAAGGAAGGAAGGAAGGAAGGAAGGAAGGAAGGAAGGAAGGAAGGAAGAAAGGAAAGAAAAAGAAATGAAAATTAAACTTATTCCACTATTCCCTTGGGAGTAAACACATACATCATTTGCTCTAGAAAAGTAGCCACTCCAAGTTTCAGTTCTGCGTAGGGAAGGGAAATATTTCATGAAGCTCCCTCCATGTAAGCATCATCATTAAAATGCTCCTCATCCACCTCCATCTTGCCCAAAACCCATTCTATGAAGTGTTTCATAGACTGTTTCCTTCACACTCTGAGGTGACAATATATGCAACAGCAAGTATTTCAGGATATTTAACTAGTTATATAAAAATACCTAAAAGCATTATAAAGTAGAATATGATCAGGAAAGATTTCCTGAGATATGCTAAACCAGCATAGTTCTATTCTGGATCTAGCATGATGTTCCAGATGATGATTAATTTTCTGGTTTTTTTAAGAGGAAGCCTCAAGTTCTGCTATGACTATAACAGTTTTGCTTTTTAATTAAAATCTGAATTGTAATTATGAGTATAACTATTCTTTCAGTCGTCTCGAAAAAGATCTCCTGACACTCCTTAACATATACTCTTCACTAATCACCATAACTAAGTCTGGGGAAAACTGACTACCTTTAACACTACTGCTCTTTCTTCACCACCGCTTTGTATCACAGAGTTCTTGCTTTCCTAGACCTACCGGAGGAGGCGGGAGGAAGTGGACAAACAGGAGTGTGGCAGGGGAGAAGGAAAGGTAGAAAACTTGGATAAGAATAAAGTCTGTCTGGAAATGGTATAATGAAGCACACTACTTTATCTGCTAATTTTAAAAAAGGCAGAGGTGTTGTGAATGCTAATTCCAAACATTACACTGTCATAATCAAGATGACAAAAAAGGCTATTATGTGACCCATCAAAGAAATTAAAATAATTAGCTAGGTAAAAACCTCTGGCCTGCTTTAGGGAAATGAGAACCTCAAATGTTAATGAACTTCTGGGCTAAACAATCTCTGGATTTACAGAGGAGAAACTAGTAACACCCTGGAACTCTTTATATTTCTATCAAAGTTTACCCCATGTAGGACCTAACACCTGGCTCCCAAGTTACTTTTCAGTAATGACTGTTCCCATGAGGATTTGCAGTTACAATGCCCAATCACGTGGCTTTCAGTCTTTTAACTCTACTGACTCAGCATTTACAAGTTAGTCAGTCTTACCTGTGGGTTTTTAAAAAGTGCATATTTTTCTATACGTTCCATAAATATAAGCTTGTTTTGGCTATCTCTTGTCCAATTAAGAAGATTTTCAACTAAGTTTTCATGGTCTTCATAGATTCTCTCTGTTCCAAAATTAAATAACAGCTTTTTGTTAGTATTCATCACACTTACATGAAAGGCAAGATAAATCATAGCAGAATTATGGAATTTTTAAAGGTTGATGATGGGCACTGCCTTCAACTGCTCTCCACCTTACATTTCCAAACAGTCCCTCACTGAACATGGAGCTCACTAGTTCAGTTCCACCATCCTTCTTTCTCTATCTCCCCAGGACTAGAACTACAAATACATGCTTCTGTATGGATTTTTTTTTTTTCAATGTGGGTTCGGGGTGATGGTGTGTGTGTCAGACTAAAGTCTGTGTAGACACACACACACACGAAGTAATAGTGAACATATGTTATTAGTATTTTTTGCAATTTGTTAATGTGCTTTGTTTTCCCTTAGAGTTAACGACTTCTGTACAAAAACACTAGTAAATGTAACAGTATTGGGGCTGGAGAGATGGCTCAGCACTAAGAACTCCACTGCCAGAGGCCCTGACGCCCTCTTTTGGCTTCCCCATGCACATGATGCACACACACACACTCAGACATAAAATAAGTGAACAAAAAAGTAAAAATCTTCAATAACAGTTTTAGTAAATGTATTTAGGTAGCTCTTATTTAAAAGAAAAAGCATTTTGTTATCATTAAGAAACTTTCCTTTAATCATTTTAAAATAAAAAGTGAACTGGGAATTCATTTTTTAGTCAAAGAACTCTCCAGCTAAAAACTCACTAGGAAAAACATTAAAAAGCCAGATTTTAAAAAGATAAAGTGCCTGATAATTTTATAGAAAATATCAAAAATGTCTCAAAATGCTTCTATCAACATGAAGATAAAGGATTACAAAGACACTAAGAAGCAATTAAAGCAGCAGCATTACTAACCCATTTGTAACTCAGAAACGGTCTCTACCAGCGACCAGTCTAAACTGTAGCCACAGTGAGATTTGTCCATCAGGTTGTCCAGCACTTGCCTCACTGTTTGTCTCTCATCCACCATCATTGTTTTAGAACTGTCATCAGACATGTGGACCCTGATCACCAGCTGCAACAGGTAAAAGGGCAATTAAATGGTAACCTTAAATGATGGTATTTTAGAAAAGCATTTTCCAGCATTAAATAGCATTCTGAGTCAAGTCTTTAAAAATGAATTAAGATATATTATGACTATGTTGACTTTATTATTAAAGGTAAAAACCTGAATATCAAGAAACCTGCCTACAGGTTTTTAATTTTAAGCTTTTAAAATATACAATTATTGTGGAAATCTTACTGATTTGTGTATGTTTTAAAAGTAGTGAGAAGCCTTTATTTAATATCTGAGGGCTAATGGGGTCAGATGTACCACAAGCAGTGGCCTAAGCTAGGCCCCGAGACAAAGGCTAGCTGTCATAAAACATCTCCCCACAAACCCACATGTGACAGGTAACAGAAGGGTGGCAGGTAACAGGAGGAACACATTTTCACCTTTCCACATATATATATATATATATATATATATAAACAGTAGAATTATTCATAAAGCAAAACAAAACAGGAAAAAAATCGTAAATATTTCAAACCTAGCAAAGAGCCACACATCACCTTTTTCACTTGAGCCTCTTTAATTTTTTCCAGGGCAACTCTGATCTTCTCAGCTTTCAGTTTTGCTGCTTGTTCCTCCTGCAAACATATAACATTTCAGACAAACTGCTGCCGAGAGGGTAAAGACACCAGAGAAGGCTTCATCATTAGAGGGACTAGTACTGAATTTTATTCAGAACATATTGTTACACGTTTTATTTTTAAAATGGCCCTGTTCACAAAGTGAGTAGACATATTGTAACAAGGGAGCACGGGTACAAGAGTAAGATTAGATTTCATATTCCAGAGAAAAAGAAATCTATGATGAAGTAAATTAAGTTTGATTCTGTCAAGTAAGTTCAAGCACTAGGTTTGGGGAAATACGATGTATATGCCTCTGCCTTCCTATTGGCTACACTCACACAACTCCTCTGAGTTCAGACCCCTCCAGAGTTTAGGCAAGATTTTTACACAGTTTTGTTTTGTTACACTGAAAATTTTAGATCACTGTAAAAATATATGCATCAAAACCAATCTACTTATTTACAATAATATAAAACCCTTAACAAATAAGAAGCATAGGTATTAATATTAATTCTCAATAATATTCTAATACAAACAAGAGGCTGTCTTATAAGTTTTACTGATTTGGAAAATCATGCAACACAATCAAGTCAGTAAATTCTAATATTTTAATCCATCAGTAAGATCTTTTTAAATGCTAAATATAACTTTACAAATAACCCAAGTATAAGTAATTCTACTCTAGAAAACCTATTATAAAACAGTAAAAATTACAAGGAACTAAAAAATAAAGAATTGTCCATTTTTCTAATAGCATAAAGTATTCTACACTAGTTAGTACTTACGGTAACTTCCAGCAATAGGACACAATAAACAATATACTTATAATTTCCAATTTAAAAAGCTCACAGAAGTAAACTTGTTTATAAAGAATTATTTTCTATTTCTAAGCTTTTGATTACTGTTACAAAACATTAAATATCAATATAACTTCCATCTTCTATAATCCTTTTATATGTCTTTCTTTAAAAAAAAACAAAAACAAAAGGAAAACCTAATTTTATCAAACTTCATTCTCTCTGGATTATGCCCAAATCCCTCAATCCATAAAAATCATAAAAAGCTAATACTTCCAGGGTAGGAAAACCAAAAAACCAAAAAAGCTAAATCCATTTACTATTTTTCTCTATCCACCAAAATTCTGATGGTTTTCTTCTCTTCCCATTTCCCACTTGGCTGCCTCTCCTTACAAGCTTAAGTTACTAACGGGGGTGGGGGGGTGGGGGGGGGCAAGGCAGCAAGCTTATGCACAGAAAGTGGATCCCTTTCAATGAATCTCCACTGAATTAACAAAATAACTAAGGCCTGGAAATAATATCTGTAAACCCAATACTCAAAGAACAAAGAACTTTATTTTAATAATGAAGAGGATTAATAATACTTAGTTCTTATATTATCATAGATATATGCCTTTGACTAAAAGGAGATAACTAATCTCCTTTATGCAAATAAATAGCATCATAAAATATGTAGACTACATTTTAATATAAGATTTTTTTTCTTTTGAAAAACAGGTTGTAAGAAACTTGAGCTAGTGTTATTAAACCTGTTTCCAGAATGGAAATGTTTCTAGAACTAAGAAACAAAATCATTATTAAGTAAACCACCAAATATGCAATTTTGGTGAATACATAAAAGTTCTATAATGAATTTGAAATACTTTAAACAATCATAAAACTGATTTCATAAGAAATCATTAGAAAGCATTCATCATTGCTTCGGTGTTGTATTGGCATGAATGACCACTACAGACTAAGAAAATTAACCACTGTATTCATTTATAAATTTCATTTATGTCTCTGAAAAGTAAATTTGAAATCTATTAGGAAGAAACTGAATTGGAATCAATGCTTTGTATATTTGAAATACAAAAGTGAATTTCTAAAAATAAAATATTTAAAAATAAACTTGCAGTTATATTTATTTTATATGTATAGATGTTTGGCCTCCATGTATGTGTGTGCAGTGTGAGTAATGTAGTCTATGTGTGCACTGCCTGTACAGATCAGAAGAGGACACTGGATTCCCTGGAACTGTAATTATAGATGGTTGTGGGTCACCATGTGGGCTGGGAATAGAACCTGGGTCTCAAGAAAACAGCAATTCTTAACCACCGAGTCATCTCTACAGGAAATACATATATGAAAAGGTGGTCAATAGTCCTTCTTGTCATTTGGGAAGTGAAAGTTAATAAAAATAAAATACTATACATTTACTACCATACCTCAAATCTAAACACCAACACCAAATGCTAATGAGTATGTGGGGCATAAGAACTGCTGTTCACTATCAGTGATTCTCACAAAATTAGATGTACTACTGTCACAAGAGTCAGTAATCATATTTCTAAGTATTCACTAAGATCAGCCGCAAACTTTTGTCTACAGAAAATCTTCACATGTTTATGTATGCTTTATCCATAATTACCTGTACTTGGAAGCAACAAAGATGCCCTCTAACAAGTGAATAAATAAATTATGGTGCATTCTGACAATGAAATATTATTCAGCATTAAAAAGAAATGAGTTATCAAGCAACAAGAGGGCACAGAGGGACTGTAAACACATATTAATAAATAGAAGAATCCAACCTCTAAAAGTTACATACTATATAATTATTTATAACTATACTGTTCTCTGGGAAGAATAGCAAAAAGTTCAGTTGTTGTCAGGTTAAGATGGAAATGAGGTTATTAGCCAGACTACAGAGGCCTTTCAGGGCAGTGAAACTACTGCTTGTCATATTATAATGGATAATATATGTCAGCATGTCAGAACCCAAAATTCTCTAAGATGTCTAAAAAAGAATAAACAAAATTAAACACTGAACTGTATTAGTTACACTACAATAATAGTATTTGCGTGCTCCCATTTTATTTTAGTGTATTACTGTTGCTCAAATTCCATGACAGGTGCAGTTTAATTAAACTCATAGATTAGTTCCTGTTCCACACATTGGAAGTGTTGAACAATAAGAGAACTGGATAATCAATTCACATTTATTTAACCAATCACACGTCTCACATATCAATAAGGAGATTATAAAACAGGTAAAGTTTTCCTAAAAAAATCAAATTCACCTTTCTTTTAGCTACAGAAACTGGTCAATATAATTTCCTTTTAAAAACTGTTTTTGGGGCCTTGCATATAAAAAACAAGTAACTACCACTGGGCTATATCTCTGGTCCTTATAAACTGGTCTATGTAAATAATATCACATTTAAGAGCTAGCTTTTTAATTTAAAAAAATGTGAATTTTAGTTTATTCTTCTCATGTTTATTACAAGGATCTTTTTAGAAACTTTTTGAACAAACAGAACTTGATACAGTGGGATCTGAACAATATTACTGGAACAAACTGTAAATAAAAACACTCAAATAGCATGACCCACATTTCCTCTGGGCCTCATGCTCTTCCTCTGTGAGTTGTTAAATCATACTGTATTTTTTTTAACCGTAGCAATAGTGGAAAAAGAAAACCATCCTTTTTCTTTCTTTTTTCTTTTCTTTTTTTGGTTTTTCGAGACAGGGCTTCTCTGTGAATCTTCAGTGTCTGACTGGCACTCACTTTGTAGACCAGGCTGGCCTCAAACTCTCAGAGATCTGCCTGCCTCTGCCTCCCGAGTGCTGGGATTAAAGGTGTGCATCACCACTGCCTGGCTTAAAGGAAATCATTTTATATTCTCTGTGTTGTGCAAGAAAGAGACAGATCAGTATAATACCTGGAAGATTTACAGTAGTTTATTTATAAAGGCAGTGCTCGCCTGTGTTCCCTAATGCAAAGGATAAAGCTTCCTCCATGTGTTTTCTGCTGATCAGCTCAGATTTTCAGACTTCTGCTCCAATTTTTTTTTTTTGACTAGTCCTTTCTTCACATTGTCTCACAACTACCCTACACATTAAGGGATACTTCACTCATACAAAAACAACTTTCTCTATTTCCCTTAAAAGAGCAAGAGACAACTCATTTTCTACTGAAAAACTACTGTGTAAATCAATAGCCATCAAATGTCAAGCCTCCTCAAATTTGCATATAGCACAAAAACTGGGTAAAGATCTTATGATTAAATGAAAATCAATGCTGGGTTACAAAGTGTAGCATTCTCTGGGGGTGTAAATATCAGAATATCAGTACTTAGAGAGTTACAGTTGTGTAGAGAGGGACAGTGAATGACTTCTGAGAAATAAGTCTTTACAGGTTCAGAACAAACAATGAAATCAAGGGGCTAAATAGTAGTTTACAATTTCTCTGGAAGACTGTGACAATTAAAAAGTAACAAATTAATTCAAAGAGAACTTGAAGTGATAATTTAATATTCATTGCAATATTTCTCTGAAGAATCACGGAATTATACTAAACTGTCATCAAGAGAACTTACATTAATTATCTAAAACTTGCTGAAACAGAAGTTATGGTGTATATGATATGTAATTTAAATTAAAAAATACAAAGCTTGTTTGATTATTATAGCCACTGTACCAAATAAGACTCATAAAGATTACTGTCTTAAGATCATACACATATTTATTAACTGCTTAACTATATATTAATTATATCATAATCTCAGTTTCTACTGTCCTCAACAGTTTGTAGCCTTAGCTTCTGGGGTATCAACAAATAAAACTGCTTGTTAAAAACACACTATAAAAGCATTTTAGCATCTTTTCTGAAGCAGAGAAAACAATGGTTACTGCTAGCATAGTTTTCTTACACTTTGACAGACTCTGGAGGTTGGGTACTGGAGTACTAGTCTTTTTGGTAGAAAGCCAGATTACTCCATAGGTTGGTGTGTTAGCAGTATACATACTTGGGGCTGAAAGTAAAGATCAATGGCAGAGGACATGCTAGGTATATAAAAGGTTAAGGATTCAATACCCAGCACCAAAAAAAGAAGGTCACATAGTTCACAAGAGCTAGGTGCTCTGACAGAGGGCACTGACAATAGTCAGAGTAAGGTGCATCTATTTCAAGCCCATTCTTAAGTGTTTGGATTCTACACTACTGAATCACATTCTTTTTTTTTTGAGAGTAAATTTTATTAAATTATAAAAGTTTCCATTTCCGCCCCTCTTCCCAACACCCTCCCACTCCCCCCACTCCCTCTCCTCCTCCCTCTTCGTCCCTTAGGGCAGTCAGGGATTCCTGCCCTGTGAGAAGTTCAAGTTCCTCCCCCCTCCCTCCAGGTCCAGGCAGGTGAGTATCCAAACAGACTGGATCCCCAAAATCCAGTATATGCAGAGGAAACAAGTCCCAGTATCATAGTCAATGGCTTTTCAGAAAGACTTCGGGCCAGCCACATTCAGAGAATCCGGCCAAATTCCGAGAATCTGGTTAGATCACGTCCTCGTTCAGTCCCAGTCCAACTGGCCTTGGTAAACTCTCATTAGATCCGTTCCCTTGTATCAGTGGGTGATAGCATCCCTCGCAGTCCCATTCTTGCTCAAATTTCTTACTGTGCAAGCAGAGTACTATACCTGCGTATGCAGTGGTATATCTGGTTAGCAACCCAGATGTTGACCAGATATATTACCAATGCCACTATAAGCTGTAGGTAGAAACCTTTCATATTTTAGTTTGTACGGCTGTTTTCTTGGCAGACGGGGATGTGAAGTTACTAACATTTTTTAATCTTAAAATTACCAAGTAAAATTCTTTCTGTGGGAAGAACTTGTTTACTGCCCATATTTGGCAGTAAAGACCAGAGACATTGGCACATATAAGATACTCAGTAAATACTAGTTGAATGGATAATGGTACTTTCCCCCAGTAGCTTCCCACTGCATTTATAGAAATATTAATGCCCTAGAAGGCCTTGATTATCTGGTTCTTGTTTGTGCTTATCAACACAAAGCAAAACACTTGTAACTCCACTTTATTATGGTCATTTCAACAATAAAGACTGTAGCTTCTCAGGTATGACAAACCCTTGTTTTCTCAGCCTACCTACATGGATCATGCCTTTCTTTTCATGTTAGGCTTTAGCTTCAATTTCATCCACTAAAAAGGGCTTTTTCTGGCCTCACCATCAGTGTTTACCTTCTCCTCAGGATTTTCTACTCCTTTGTTTCCTTCATAGCACTTAATATAATTTAGGTATTTTTACATGTTTGCATATATACATATGTGTGATACATTTATATTAATGCGTTCTCTCTCTCTCTCTCTCTCCCCCCCCCCCCCACCACCAATTCAGGATCTCCTATATTCCCAGGCGGGCTCAAATTCATTGTATAGCTGAGGACAACCCTGAACTCTTGATGCACTTGCCTTTATCTTCCAAGTGCTAAGATTACAGGTGTGCACCATAAGGCCTGCACACTTTATACTTTATCTTTATAATAGACCATGTACTCTTTAAGAGTTAGGACTATGTCCATTTTACAGTGTTGCATACTAACTAGTACTTCATAGTACAAAGATCAATAAAGAGGACTAGACAAATAGGCAAGAGAAGTGGTAAAATGTTAAACTCAATCTGGGAATCGTCTAAGAAAAAGATGGAGACAAAGTTGGAGACAATTCTAGTGCTTGAAGAAGTGCTAAGGGATTGTTATAGTGGAGGCAATGGGAATGAAAACGGATGGGTAAAGTTTGAGAATTACAAAAGGCTCATTTTGGATTTGAGATACTAAGGGAGAAGTATAGTGACAGGTGATCAGAATGCTCACCCTGTGTCACGAGGAGAGTGGTAGTATGTTGTGGGGCTCCAGAAAGAAGATGGATGATTTTCTTCAGGATTTAAATGTTAGTAAGTAAGATGCTGATAATATTCAGGAAGCCCTAAAAGCTATCAACTATCTGGAAATGCAGAGGAGCAAGGACAGACAGAGACAGTGCACAAGGCAAGATCTAGCACTCTCTTCTAAAACAGATCCCAGTTAAGCTATGAGGGCAGACTCAGGTTAGAAAGTACATGGACAAAACCTGCTTAGCTTTCTTCACTGCTCTGATTCTGGATTTGTTTTAGAAAGGAAATTTGGGGGAAAGAAATGGTCTCACTACTTATTCTGTCAAAAAGTCTTTTCCTTTGAGTTGCTTCTTAGAGGAATTTTGACTTTAGTCAGTTACCTTCTCTCCAAGTTTATGCTATGAATAAATGAAAGGGAAAAACATATGTAGTAGCTTCTACACTGTTTATTCTTCAGAAACTACAAGTCTCGTATTCTTGAACTTAATGTTGTACTATTTAAATAAGATAATGATAAAAAATTCATTCAGCTTCTTGATTACTGTTACCTAGTTAATAATGAGAATTTATAAAAGATTTTACGTTGTAAAATAGTATCCCAGTAAAATCCAATAAACTGAATCAAACTGAGGGTAGAAAATTGAGAAATTCAAATTGTGCTCTTCTCTTCCAGTAAGACTAAGTTAATATAAATCAAAATTCTGTCTATGTAAGTAAATGTTGTAATTAAACCAGAGGTTAATAATGTAAGTAAGAACTGTTAAAGCTTGCAAAAGAAACACATAGCATAAAACAATTAATAGCAAAAGTTAAATTAAAGCAATGTTTTCAGGTTTTGAAATGCAATAGAAAATTAAACTAGAGAAAGTACAACATATTTGGAAGAATACTAGGCATCTGTAGAAGTTAGAAACAAATGGAAATTACTGAACATATTTTTGGGTCTGATTATTAACAGTCATTAGATTAGGAAGACAATAAGTAGAGAAAAAGCACCCTGTACTAAAGACAGTGATGCTACTAATAGGAAACACGAGAATGCAATCCCAACAAGAGATCGTATTCTGTCTACAAGGCAGGGAATAGTTACATGCACATGGGAAACAGCGACATCACCTTGGTCAGCAAATGAGAAGGTTTTCCTGCAATGTTTCGCAGAAGAAGGGAGGTTTCCCTGTCCAGATAGGAGTGCTTAAGCAGGAAGAGAGAGAGAGAAAACAAAAAAGGCAATAAGAGAAGTCAGTGGAGGCTTTATGTGTCTTAAAATAAAACAGAGCAAGTCTTGACTCTATAATTAATCACATATCTATTTTTGTAAACTAAGTGAAATATGTCTACTAAGAAAAAAAATTATTTTATAAAACCAAACCATCACTGTCAACAACAGAAAGGAGTAAGAGGTAAAGGCCTGTCTGTGCCCATGGATGTTTTCCAGGTGAATGGCTGATTTTTGGCTCTGTGTAACACATGCAAAGATCATAGAGCCAGTCTTGTTTACAAGCAGTGGCCAAGAATGCTGTGCACAGAGCACAAATAAAACAGTGCCAAAGTTTGATGTCTACAGCTCTTCCTATTAAAAATCCTTAAAAGATTTAGAGATTCAAACAGTGTACTGTGTTTAGAACACAAATATTAAAAAAGCTGGCAACCATTGCTCATCAATTCAATGATAGCCACACCAAGAGGAAAAACACCCATATGTATTTTGCCTGCTATTTTGTTTTCACTGAAATTTTATTAATCCATTCATTACAAGACAGCGTTACACAGTGAAGGACTTTCATAGAAAATGAACACTGAATTCCCCTTAAACTGATATAAACTTATTCAATTAATATATTGTTCCCAGCTATGATGCAAATAACAAGGTCCTTAACTACCATTTATACCTTCTTAGTAACTTTTAAAAAATTAATTTTACTTATTTAATTTTATTTATTTATTTGGTTTTTCAAGACAAGGTTTCTCAGTAGCTATGGAGCTAGTCCTGGAACTTGCTCTAGACCAGGCTGGCCTTGAACTCACAGAGATCCACATGCCTCTGCCTCCCAATTGCTGGGATTAAAGGTGTATGCCACCACTGCCTGGCTTCAACAACTTAAAAAGCAACATAGTAACTAACACCAGAACCCAGTGGTCAAACAACAGGAAGACTTGACCATCCTAACCCAGAAGAAGCAGAAGAAAACAAAAATCGTATCTTTATGAAGATGATGGAAACCTTTAAAGAGGAAATAAAAAAAAAAACTCTCTTAAAGAAATGGAGTAAAGACAAACAAAAAATTGGAAGAAATTAATAAATCACTCAAAGAAAACCAAGAAAAAACAATCAAACAGATGAAGCAAACAGTTCAAGACTTGAAGACTGAAACAGAGGCAATTAAAAAAAAAAACCCACAAACTGAGGGAATTCTGGATATGGAAAATCTGGGAAAAAGAACAGGAACTACAGAGGCAAGAATACAAAAGATGATGCTGAAGATACTATAAAGGAAATCAATTCATTGGCCAAAGAAAACATTAAATCCAAAAAATTCTTAATGCAAAACATCCAGGGAATCTGGGACACCATGAAAAGACCAAACCTAAGAACAGGTATAGAAGAAAGAAAAGCGCTCCAGCTCAAAGGCATAGAAAATATATTCAACAAAATCACAAAAGAAAACTTTCTCAACCTAAAGAAGGATATCCCTATGAAGGTACAAGAAGCTTACAGAACACCAAATAGACTGGATCAAAAAAAATAAAATAAAATAAAAAACAAAAAACAAAAGGCCCCTCACCATATAATAATCAAAACGCAAAACATACAGAATAAAGAAAGAATATTGAGAGCTGCAAAGGAAAAAGGTCAAGGGAAACCTATCAGAATCACACCCGACTTCTCAATGGAAACCATGAAAGCCAGAAAGGGCAGATGAACAACAGACACTAAGAAATCATGGATATAAGCCCAGACTACTAAACCCAGCAAAGTTTTCAATCACCATCAATGGAGAAAACAAGAAAGTTCATGACAAAACCAGATTTAAACAATATGTATCCACAAGCCCAGTGCTACAGAAAGTACTAGAAGGAAACTAACTGCACCCACAAAACACAGGCAACAGATAACCTCTCAGCAACAAAACTCAAAGAAGGGAAACACACAACCACTACCACCAAAAAATAACAGGAATTAACAACCACTGGTCATTAATATCTCTTAATATCAACAGATTCAATTCACCTATAAAAAGACACAAGCTAAAAGAATGGATACAAAAACAGGATCCGGCCTTCTGCTACATACAAAAAACACACCTCAACCTCAAAGATAGACATTACCTCAGAGTAAAGGGCTGGGAAAAGATTTACCAATCAAATGGATCTAAGAAACAAGCAGGTATAGCTATCCTAATATCTAACAATATAGATTTCAAACTAAAATTAATCAGAAAAGATGGAGAAAAACACTTTATACTCATAACAGGAACAATCCATCAAGATGAAGTCTCAATCTTGAAAATCCATGTCCCTAATACAAGAGCACCGACATATGTAAAAGAAACATTACTAAAGCTTAAATCGCACATCAAACCCTACACACTAATTGTAGGAGACTTCGACACTCCACTCTAGTCAATGGACAGGTCAACAAGACAGAAATAAGAGAACTAACAGATGTCATAACTCAAATTTACTTAACAGACATCTACAGAACATTCCTCCCAAACACAAAAGAATATACTTTCTCAGCACCTCATGGAACCTTCTCTAAAAGTGACCACATAACTGGTAACAAAGCAAAGGTCTACAAATACAAATACAAATAAATAAATAATAAAAAAAATTAGAGTAACCTCCTGTATCTTATCGGATCACCATGATTTAAAATTAGAATTTAACAACAACACTACTCTCAGAAAGCCTACGAACTCATGGAAATTGAACAGTGAACTACTGAACCACCCCTGGGTCAAGGAAGACATAAAGAAAGTAAAGACTTCCTAGAATTCAACAAAAATGACGGTACAACATACCCAAACCTATGGTACACTATGAAAGCAATGCTAAGAGGAACGTTCATAGCACTAAGTGCCCACATAAAGAAAGTGGAGAAAGCTCACATCAGTGACTTAAAAGCACACCTAAAAGCTCTAGAACAAAAAAGATGATCCTAATCCTTAACAATTTGAGAATAGCCTTATTTCACTTCTAGACAACACAGCTCTGTCAGAAACATTAAGAAGCAATGTTATGCTAATGCATCTTTACTTGCCCCCACCATTGGCAGCACTCTCTCTCCTCCCACTATGTTAATCACCCCTGTGCTACATCTCCTCATTCCTCAAGCTTCTGTCTTTCCCCTTTACCTCTTCTCTTACAAAGAATATCACACCTCAGTCAGCAGTGTATTCTATACTAAATTCACATTTTTTCCACCCATCTTTTTAAGTTTTATATGAATAAATAGCCTTCCCCCGAAGCTAAGTGTGTTTCAATCTGACTCATTCCTCCTTCAGGATTAAACCACATCAACCCACTGGGGTAAGAAAGGGACAACAAAATGTTCAACTATCCTGGCTAACCTTCCTCCTGCCTCTAATTTCTCTGTACTGCCAAATTTCCTGAATCCATACTAGGCAGTTTTTCCACTTCCCAGTCCTTAGTTCTCTGCAGTCTTTCCCCTCAACCTTGCAGGGGTGATGCTGTGTATGTGTGTGTCTATGAACATCACAGGTTGGTTTGGGAAATCCTTCTGTATATGGGTTGCTTTTATTGGTTAATATAGAAACTGCTTTCGGCCAATGACTTAACAGAGTAAAGCCAGGCTGAAAGAGATATAGACAGAGTAGGCGGAATCAGTAAGATCCCATGTAGCTGCGGCCGAGACAGACTGCTGGAACCTTGCCGGTAAGCCACATTCACGTAGCAATACACAAATTAATGAAAATGGGTTACTTTAGGATATAAGAGCAAGCTAGAAATATGCTTAAGCTACTGGCCAAACAGTATTGCAAATAATATGGTTTCTGTGTGATTATTTCAAGTCTGGGCAGCCAGGAACGAATGAGTAGCCTGCACCAGCCAGGAACGAATGAGTAGCCTGCACCAACAACAGGTTGGTGTCTGATGTCTTCCTCAATAATTCTCTACCCTACTTGCTGAGACGCGGTCTCTTACTAATCTTGGAGCTCACTGATTTGGCAAGACTGGCTGGCTACCAAGCCCCTAGAATCCACCTAATCACTGCCCTAAGCACTGGGGTTACAAACCTACATCATCATGCCCAGTTCCTACATGGATACTAGGGATCTAAACTCAGGTTCTCATGCTTGTCCAGCAAGCACTTAACTCACTGAGCTATCTCTTCAGTCCCCAATAATGACAATTTATCCTCTCCATTCCAGTGTAGTATCTAGGCACTGAGTATCTATGGAATATTTACAAAACTACTTATGAAATGGATAATTAATTCTGCTTTGTCTTTATATCATATGCTTGGTCAGATAAAGACTTTTCATTTTTCTATGTATCCCCATTAAACATGTTCTTAGCACTGTTTCAGTTACCAGATCAATAAGGTCTGTCAATTCTATATGGTCAATATAGTTCTTAGGAAACAGAAACAGTAGTACCCACGACAAACAGAAAAGGGTCATGACTAATGCAGCCAACTCTCAAGTAGTTTATGGGGAAAGTACACATAAAATGAGTAATGAGGTAAGCACTCCAGACACAGCAGGACAGATGCACATCTAAACTCACAGAGACTGTGGCAGCATAAACAAGGTGTGCACAGGTTCAAGCCAGTCCCAGCACTAAGAGGGGGGAGTGACATTGGGCCCCAACTCTAAAGAAGCCATTTCCTTAGGCAAAGGAAAATTCTCCATTAGCATCTCACAGGGTATATTAACCATACCTCAGGGAAGACACCACGCCCAGGAGTCAATACAAAATGAACTCAGTATTTCTGTAGACTTTCTAACTCATTTTGCTTTGTTTGAACATTTTGGCTTTATGAGTTTTTTGCTTTTGTGAATTTGTTTTTAGTGTGTCTATTTCTTGTTTTTTTAATTGTTTTATTTTTATTTAAGAGAGAGAGGAAAAGAACATAAAGTTGGGTGGGTAAGGAGATAAGGAGGATTTGTGGGAAGGAAAAACATGATCAAAATATATTGTATAAAAAAATTTTAAGTAGGTTTAAAAAATTGGGAGTTGTCAGTGTAGAAAGATATGATCAAAACAGTTAGTCTGAAGACTCCACTATGGGGCACTCCACAGTCAAGAGGCTACAGTGAGAAAGAGGGCTAAGGAAGAATTTCTACTCTTTTCAAAGCCTGGTAAATAAAGAGCTTTTTTAAAAAATGACAAACTTACAAGCAGACATGGACAATTTCTGGAAGGTACAAAGTATATGGTTGAGTAGTACCCTCCTTGAAAGGTCCAATAACAGTTGAACACAGAACTAGCTGCAGAGAAGAGCAGACCAGCACCGAGCTCTGCCATAGAAGCTCTAGTCCTCAGAAGCAGTAGTAGTGATCATAGTTATTGATCTAAAAGATTGTTTCTTCACTATGCCTTTACAAGAAAAAGATAGAGAAAAACTTGCCTTCACAGTGCCTACTTATAATAATTCTCAGCCTACTAGGAGATATTACTGGACTCCCACTCTGTGTCAATACTTTGGAAAAAATACGTAAGCAATTTCCTAAGTCTATAATTTACCATTACATGGATGACATTTTGCTATCTCATTCAAACATAGATACTTTAGAAAGAATGTTTTAAGAAGTAAAGAAAGTTTTGCCAAAATGGGGATCACAAATTGCTCCTGAAAAAAATACAGAGAGGAGATTCTGCCAATTACCTAGGTTATAGAATAGGTCTACATAAAATTAGAACACAAAAAGTACAAATTAGGAGAGACCGGTTGCGGACTCTTAACGACTTTCAAAGATTGTCAGGAGACATTTTCCATCTACGACCAGCTGCTGGGATAACACCTGATCTAATAATTCATTTAAACAAAACCTTAGATGGTGATAAAGACTTGAATAGTTCCAGAGAATTAACAGCTGAAACAGAAAAGGAATTGACAATTGTTGAGGAGAAATTACAGGAGCCACATATGGATAGAGTGAATCCAAATCCTAATTGTATTTTAGTCATATTGCCTTTCAGAATTTCTCCTACAGGAATTTTAATGCAGAGGGACGATATTATCTTAGATTAGATCTTTTAACCACATAAACCAAGTTAAAAATAAAAAACTTATGTGCAAAAGTCTCTGAATTATAAAAGGTAAATTGAGACTTTGTCAATTAGCAGGTATAGACTCAGCAGAGATTATAGTGTCTTTTACTACTGATGAAATAAAAGTTATAGGAAGACAATGAACCATGGCAAAGAGCTTGTGCTAATTTTTTTTGGAAGAAATTAATACCAATTATCCCAAAAGTGATAGACTTAACTTTATAATGAGAACTTTTTTTGTGAGTCTGCCCCTAAATAAATAACCCTCTATTATTCTCAATTCTGAGCTAGTATGGGATTTCTTTTACGTATCCATCTTCAGGCACCTACTGAGTAGAGAATAAGGGTACTTCTAAACATTCTACAATATCCAGGGCAACCTTTCACAACCAAAATCCATGGAGCCCAAAGTGTCAGTTGTGTTTGTGTTGAGAAATCTAAAGTATCAAATGAAGTTCACACTGAGAAACAATCCCAAATCCAAACTTTTTCTTCTCCCTAATGGGCTGCTGAAATACTGGCAGCCAGGCCCTTCTTGCCAGAGACTCGTAGAAGCTTCTCTGCAGAAACTTAGTGGTTGAGAGAAAAGACATAAATAATCCTACATAAGAGACTAGGAAGAAAATGAATTTTAAGAGGGAAGAAATCCATATATTACTTCCGTTCAAACTAACCAAGATTAAATCAACTGTAGTAAATTAGAGCTGAAATAATGATAAACACAGAGAAAATGAAGTACTTTTGTGGTTTAAAAGCAAACTGTTAACCCTTAAAAGAAAGTAAAAAATATACAATTTTGCAGCAAACTTCAAGTGTATAGTCATTATAATAAGAGCACTGAGTATATTGGAAGGGCTGGGGGTTAGCTCAGTGGTAAGAGTGTGTAAGTGCTTGCCTAGCACATGTAAGGACCTAGGTTTGATCTCGAAGACCACAAACAATAAAGGAAACAAACAATAACTAAATGTGAGAAAGGGGAAAAAGAAGGGAGAACTAGAAAGGATGGAACAGGAATAAAGAAGTGAAAGGTATTATTCAAAATAGTCTCACTTTCCAAAGTCAGTATATAATATACACAGAAGGGGAAAAAAGAGATACAGTGATCAAAGTGATTTAATGATATGGAGATAAATGCTAAAAGCACCAGCTCAGGGATTAGAAAGTGTTTATTTCTTGGAGTATAATATGGCATGTGTGTGGCAGAAAATGTTTCATAAGTCTGACAGAACTATTTAATTCAATGTATAAAAAGCTAATTATAATTTTAAAAATTGTATCTGATTTTAAGACTATTTGATACATGAATTTGGATCTAATGAGCTCATCTTCGTTTGTTCAATTTTAATCAGAATGCTGTATAACAAGAATAAAGGATACTGAAGCAAGTTATTAAACCATTTTTTAAAACTGCTCTGGACAAGATAAAAGAGGAGGCCAGTTAAGACTTTAGACAATTACTTGATTTACCTACCAAACCCCATGTGAAAAATATTATATTAAATATGACACCACCAAATGTTGTTATCTTTACCCATGGGTATCACCAGATACCATTTCATGTGCTTCCTGAGAGACGGGTCACTTCACTTTATATTCTCTCTTATGTTGTTTGTACTTTACAGATAGACATATGGTCAGGACAGGGAGTCAAAAGCCACAGTCACACAGAATATCCTTAGTAATTAGTTCAGATCTGTTTTTCATGAATTTTGATCTAACTCAAAATAATAGGACAGAAAAGAATAACATATAAGACAAAGAAGATAAAAATACTTCTCTAATAAAACACTGCTTACTTAAATCTCATCAGGTAAATCTGATAAGCATGAAATGAAATGCTGAGACGCTGGTACTAAGTAGAATTCTTAGGTCATAAAGAAGACATTGGGCTTCCTCATAAAGTAGAAATTTCAATTGTCATATATATAATATATATATATATAATATATATAATACAGAATGGAGGCTAGAGCCATTTTAGATAAATGAGGGTTTATTCTTTAGGTTCATATGACTTGCTTCCTTTCTTTGCAATAGCTCATTTGTCTCTAAACCATGATGGTTAATGTTTCTTTTGCTCTCCACAGTACCCAAAAAAAAGCCTTTGGGTAAATACCAAGAGTTACTGATTAAATTAATCTGAAGAATTAAATCATTTGGGCACGGGAGAGTCTAACAATGTCAGAGAGTAATTTCAAGTTTCTCTGTAATTCTTTCAATGATGTTTGACAATATTCCACACTTGTGCTAATAATGCATACATTCTTCTGCTTTGTCACAGAGTATATAAACACAAGCTCATTGGAAAGGCCGGCTTTGTTCTGCTCCATTCATTTTCTTTCTTGTTGCTATCATACAAAAAATTGCTATCTTCTAGATGAAAGAAATCTTTCTTTTGTTAACTTTATTATCACAAGTTCATCTTCTACCCTTACCCAAAAACTCAGGAAAATGTCATCTTACATCCCTCACACCAATCACTTCCGAGTCTATGAATGACCCTTTGAGGAAGAGAAGGCAAACCAGGTAATGGGAATTCAAGTTTTCTTACAAGAAACTGATGTCTAGATAAACTGTCTGGTTCCATGGCTACCAAATGACAAACACACAAGTTCTTTAAGTCCAGCTTTTCTTTCTACTACATCACACTAACTAACCCTTTGATGATAAAATGGAACAAACTCCAAATAGTAGAATCTTCAAAGATTACAATGATGATTTACATGGCCATAAGTTCTCACTTCAATCATGTCAAAAACAATTATCAGCTTATTAATTATTCATGGTTTTGCAAATCATAATTCATTTTTTAATCACATGAAATAACTGGCATTAATTCAAAGGTTCTAACAAGTCAGAAGACAGAAAGAAGACTCTAACCCTCTTCTAACTTACCTTCATGACACTACAATGACTGGTGATGTAGTTCTTCTGTGGCCTTATTAAGCTGAGAAATACTTTTGATAAATTTTTATGTTAAAGAAGAAAGCCAGTTTAAAAACAAAAAGACAAAATAAAAGCCCACTCATTTCTCTGTATTTTAAAGTCAAAAATAACAGTGGAAGTAAATTCCATCTATTTACCTCAGTAACTGGCTGTCCCTGACATGTTGTCAAATCCAGTTCTTGAGGGCGCACCACTTTGTCAATATCCAAAGAATCCATGCTAGAAGCTGCAGAAGTGATGCTCGAACGGGAGGAATTACTAATAGAGTGTACTTCAACATCATTCACAGTGTCAGCTGATGCAGTCCTTCTGTGCTGATTCGTCATTAAAGGTTTAGAATCTTCTACTACAGATTGCTGAGCAGCCTCATCCATGCTCAAGGAAGCCTGTTCTAATTGTGCCGTAATGTCATCCAGGGAGTAGTTAGCATGGGAAGGTTTAGTAGTTGTTCTATTAGAAGAAGATGATACTCCTATTCCTCTCAGAGAGCCATGTTTTGACGTATGCCGGCTAGGTAGCTTCTGAGTGACTTTAGGTTCTGTGACTTGATGTTTACTATTTCCTGAGCCAATACTGCTGAGCTCCTGTTCTATGGAGCAGAGATCAGCCATCAGGGCATCCAGATCCACAGTCTCTCCCTGATTCAGAGCTTCTACAAAGAAGGCATAAGTTTCCAGAACATAATCAAAATCTATACATTCTACGATAAATTAGTCACAGGCAGTAGGAAAAAAGCAAAAGAACACATTTCATTGGGTCTAAAACCAATAAAATAAAGTACTTAGTTGGTTTTGTTCAAAATTTTAAGAGAATTTTTGAAGCAAATAGTCCATCTTTTAAGAATGCTATTAAGGAAAATAAGGTTGTAAGTTCAAAGACAAAATACTGAAAACACCTTGTGCTATGCCATGGTTTTAACCAAATCTCTCAGGTAACTTTGTACTGTTATGCTGGCTAATTTTATGTCAACTTGACACAATCTGAAAGGAAGGAACCTCAATTGAGAAAACACCTCTGTAAGAGCTGGCTTTAGGGTATTTTCTTAACTATGGATTGATGGAAGAGGGCTCAATCCATTGTGGGTGGTGCCATTCGTGGGTTGGTAGTCCTGGATTCTATAAGAAAGTAGGCTGAGCAAGCCATGGGAGCATGGCTTCTATATCAGATCCTCCCTCCAGGTTCCTGCCTTGTTTGAGTTCCTGTCCTGACTTCCTTCACTAATAGACAACGATATGGAAGTGTAAGCCAAATAAAATAAACCCTTTGTTTCCCAACTTGCTTTTAGTCATGGTGTTTCATTGCAGTAATAGAAACCCTAACAAATTAATATAGTCAATGTCCAGGTAGATAAAGTACTATCAAAAGAGAGAAGAGCATAAAGAGAAAAAAAGTAAAAAAAAACTTAGAATATTTACTCCAAACACTAAGAAGTGGCTAGGTACAATAAAGAAAGGTCATACCAGCTGATTTAAAATTACTAAAAACAATTTTCTTTGGACTTTAATCCAGTCAAAAAACAATGCAATAAGATTGATGTGGGTTTTCTCATCAGCATACATAGTATTAAGTATTAAATACAAGACAAGAAAACTATTTGTTACGTTCTAGTTGCTTTTTTCTTCTGGAATTCTTCCAGTTAATTTGAATTAATATGCACAAATCAACAACAGAACCCATGATGGAAAGAAAGATGGCTCAGTGGCTAAGAACATGTGCTCTTCTTCTGGATGACCTGAGTTTAATTCCTAGCACCCACACTAGATTGTTCACAACTACAACTACCTGTAACTCTAGCTCTAAAAGGATCTGACACTTCTGTTTTCTGCAAGGATGAGCACTCATGTGCATAGCTGCCTCGCCACACACACACACACACACACACACACACACACACAAATTTTAAAAAGGAGAAACAAAACTCAGTCAAATTATGTATATAATTTTTACACTGTTTTATATTTAGAATTGCATTTTCATCATTTCTGTATTATAGAACTCAGTATATTATTTTAAACTTTTCTTAATCAAATCTTACCATTTAAGTTGTATATGGAGAACCGGTAAGAAAAGTTGGCCATATTTGTTTCCTGACGAAGAGGAGATCTTTTCACTGGTTCTTTAGGCTTGTCAGAATCCAAACTCTTAAAAAACGAAAGTTTAAGTAATATTAATGTGAAATTCCATTACACAAAAAGATTAGTGAACTGCCATACTGTCTATCACTGTTCATCATCAAAGGAATTCAGGAAAAGAATTCAAGCAGAGTAGGAACCTGGAATCAGAAGCTAATGCAGTGGCCATGGAGGGGTGCTGCTTACTGACTTGTTCCCCAAGGTTTGTTCTGTAGCTTTGGAACTTGGAACTAGCATATGAATATGGACATGGCAAAAAAACATTTGTGATCTCTTTCATTAAATGGTTGTATTTTTGATCTATCATAGCCTCATCCATAATTAAAGGCAAAGTACAATCTTGAACTTCTTCCATCCACTCACCCACTCACTCCCTTTTGTGGTGTTGGGGACTGAACCCAGCGCCTTGTGCATAGCAGACACTCAGATCTATCACTAGATTATACTTGCAGCCCTTACTATCTTCTTACCATAATACTATTCACCTGTAGCCTTTCTACAATAAGGATACATAAACAGAAAATTACAACAATAACAAAGAAAAAAGAGAAGAGACGAGGAGGAAAAGGAATTCAACTACTTAAAGTTACAATAGAAAGAAAAGATAGAATAGTCTTTTACAACTAGTTTCTATATAATGTCCTATCAAATAAGCTTCAAGTTTTAAAAAAGAACTTCAGTGTTGGGTGTGGTGGTGGTGTATGCCTTTAGTCTCAACACTCTGAAGGATAATCTCTCCTCTGGAGATAATCTGGAGGATTATCTGCAAGATAATCTCTGCATAGTCTACAAACTGCTTGGCCTATTAGTTCAAGCTTATTATTAACTAGCTCTTACAACTTAACTTATAATTTTTGTTTATGTTTAGCCACGTGGCTTGGTACCTTTGCTCAGCGAAGCACTGAGGTATTCCCATATTGCTTCTACTAAGTCTGACTGGTGACTATGTCTCTGCCTTTCCTCTTCCCAGAATTCTTTTAGTCTGGTCGCCCTGTCTATACTTCCTGCTTGGCTACTGGCTAATCAGCATTTTATTAAACTAATACAAATGACAAATCAGTGTACAAGAGGACTATCACACAGCAGGAATCCTCAAAGCTCGCCCCCACAGTAAAATATTTTCTCCAAGGCCAGGCCCACTCCAAGAAAGCCATATTCCCTAATATTGCCACTCCCTATGAGATTATGGAAGACTATTACATTCAAACTGCACATTCCACTCCCTGGTCACCAAAAGCTTGTAATAATATCATAATGCAAAATGCATTTAGTCTAACTTCAAAAGTCCCCATAGTTTATCACAGTCTCAACAATGTTTTAAAGTCCAGAGTCTCTTCTTGAGATTCATGTATCTTTTAACTATAATCTCCTATAAAAATATAAATCAAAAAGCAGATTACAGAATTCCATCCTATAATGGCACAGGAATTTAGAATTTGCCCAGCTGGTTTTGGGTCTTGTTTTGGTCCAATGTTTCCTCACTATGCTCCCTCCCTGCATTTTGGAATGATAATATGTATACATAGAGCATAGTGAGGAAACACTGGACCAAAACAAGACCCAAAACCAGCTGGGCAAATTCTAAATTCTGCTTTTCCATGTCTGATGAAGTACTCCAAATCTCCAACTCCTTTCAGCTTTGTTGACAGCAACACACTTCATTCTCTTGGGCTGGTTCCTCTCTCTGTTAATAGCTCTCCTCAGCAGGTATCCCACTGTTCTGGCACCTCTAACATCTTGGGGTCTCCAAGACAATCCAGGTTTCAACTTCACAGCTTCACACAGTGGTCTCTTTACTAGGCCTCCATTCAGGGATACCTGACACATTCCTGACCTCAGAGGCTTTTTTTTAGGTATGGAGAACAAATTCTATGACCCTTTTTTCTATCCTTAATTCTAAAGCTAGAACCATGTGGCTGAAACTGCCAAGTTTTGCTGCTTGCTGGGGCTGGAACATGCCCCCCTTATTCAATTACATCTTCACCAGCTTTCTGTCCTTCACTGCCTAAGTTTGGAGTCCTGAAACTTGCTCTGTAGACTAGGCTGGTCTCAAACTCAAAGATCTACCTGCCCGGTGTCCCATTTCCTCCAGCAAGGCTGGACCACTCATTCAACCAATCACCTCTCCAAAAGAGCTACAGACTAGGGTCCAAGTATTTTAAACCCAAGCAGTTGGGCACAACTGTGAGGGGTTTCCTTGATTGAATTATGAGGTGGTAAGACATACCGTAAATCTGGGCCACACCTTCTGGTGGCAGCCCACTTAAAAGGATGTGGAATAAAAAAACTTTTGCTTCTTGCCTGCTTGCCTATCCTCTCTGTAGTATCTACCTTTCAAACTGACCCACAGCTAAGAAGGAAGTTAGAACTTTAAGCCTTCATTTTACTTTTTCATTAGTTATGGGTTTTTATACTTATGCATTCCCCAAGAAATTATTTAAACATAAATAAGTTTTAACAGTCTCATTATTATGAAATTAAATTTGTTTTAATAAATATGACCATCTTTATATATTATACATAGTACATTAACCAGGTAAGTAAAAACTGCATTTTTTTTTTATTCTAAAAAGTGTCCTGGCATAGGGGATAATAGTTTAGCAAGTAAAATGCGTGCCATGAAAACCTGGGCCATAAATTCAATCCCAGGGATCCATATAAAGGTAGGAGAGACTCCACAAAGTTGTACTCTAATGTCCACATGCAAATTGTGGCATGCATGCACTAGCCCCTATCTCTCACACATAACACACATACAATATAATAAAAATTTGAAAACTAAGACCTATGATCCAAAACAAATGAACAAACGCACACCGTGATGTCCCATGCCTGACCCATGCCTGTAATCTCAACATTTGGGCAGTAGACATAACAAGACTGGCAGCTCAAGGTCATCCCTGAAATCAAGTTACATGTCAAATCCAAGATCAACCGGAGCTACATGAGTTGCTATCTCAAAAACTAGCCAACCAACCACTCACCACCACACTCAATCCACAATCCAAAAAAACAGCAAAAACCAAACTAAAACAAAAACTTTAGAACAATTTTAAATGTAGCCTGGAATGAACTTTTGTCAGTATTTTGAAACTATGAGCAAGAAAATACAAACAATATATGTCATAAGGTGTATTTAAATTTGTTACAGAACAAAATATATCAAAATTTAAATTTTTAAACTTTTAGACTTTAAAATTGTTTTAGCTTATAATTCAAATGTATGAAAGAGGTATCAAATCCCCTCTCACATTAACAGAAACCCTGTTAAAGAATTGCTTTTTTTTAAACCTTAGAATATTCACAGAAAAGGGGCTAGGGAGATAGGTCAGTTATGGCAAAGCACTTGCAAGCATTTGACTCTCAAACCCAAATCTAAATGGTGGGCACTTGTAATCCTAGCAGGTAGGCAGATTTAGAAAGATTCTCCAGTTCTAACCTAATTAGTAAGCATTATGCCAAGGAAAGACCTACCTTATCTGGTGACTTCCTCTTAGGGAATCCATACCCACACTTCCCTACCTTCTTCTGAGCACCTTTCCTCCCATCCTGTTCTGGTGCTTACACCTATATTAAACTTATCTTTAATAAAAATCTTTAACTCTGCTTCACTAAAAGGGGGATACTCCGAGGGGAAGAAGAGAAGAGAGAATAGGACCCTATGTTTCAAAGAAGTAGTGGCCTTCCAAGGAAGAAGTCCTGAGGATATCCTCTGGTCTCTACCTTGCATGTACACATTCACACAGATAAGCACACATATCACACATACATTCTCACATAAGCATATACAAATAATAACCACAGATTATATTATTTTGCACTGTAAAGTTTCTATTCCTCTACCTGTTAATGTTTTTTTTCTGTAACCAGCATTTTAAAATTTAGCTTGCACTCGTATCTTTTGTTTGTACATTAAGCTTTAAACATGCAGTGATAGCTTCAAATCTTCAACCAGTTTTTCAGTAATCCTAACCTGAGTCAGTTTGTCCAGTTCCCCAAGCCAGGCTCCAAACATTTTATCCAGGTCCTGATCCTCCTTGTCACTGTCTTCTTCAGCACCATGGTCAATTTCTTCATCTGATAATTGCTCCATCTGAAATACAGACATTTGTGTTGAATGAGCAGTTACAACTTTATCTTAAAAATTATTCAGAACAAGGTATGATACATGATGTGATTCTCTGAAATCAAATCTTCAAAATTAGACTATAACATAAGAAAATAGAAATGATTAACGAAGACAATCTTGACAAACAGAATGAGGAAGGAAGCCTCAGTTCAAGGAACAGGTGAACCTAGGAGATCAGTTCCCTACAGAAGGGAACTATCAAATATGACTAGATTCAAAATACACACTAGCAGAAAGTATAACTGTAGTGTCAATCTCTGTGCTGACTGGCTCTGTAATACTCCAAATATAGTTTCAAAGACTTCACACAGAATTTCACAAATATTAGGCTAGATATCTTAAAGAATACATGAAGTTCCACTTAAGTTTCCTGATTTGTCACATGAGGACAACTATGTTCTGAACATACTGTACCTCAAATCATTCACCAACATGCAAAGTTACTGAAGCTATAATAAAGACCAAAGACAATGGCAGGTAAACAAAGCTCTGCAAAATCCTAGCCTTCAAGAACCTCCCCTCACCATTTCCTGCTTCCTCACTCCTTCAGTTTTATAGACTCAACTGTCTTACTTATTGGAACATACAGGCTTGCTCCAACCTCCAGTCTTTTCAATGTCAACTCTCCTACCTGGAACTCTTTCCTCCAGATATGTGCAGTTTTGTGCCCTTGCTTCATTCAAGTGAGCATCCCATCAAAATAGCATTCCATCCTTGTGACATTCTGTCCCCTGCAGGGTTTTAGTTTTCTTCATAAAACTGAAGAGGGAGGGTAGAGTTTCTCCATGTAGTACTAGCTGTCTTAGAATTCTATGTAGACCAGGCTGGCCTTGAACTCACAGAGGTCCACCTGCCTCTGCTTTCTGAGAGCTGGGATTAAAGGTGGCACAATCATACTCGACTTCTTCGTAGTACTTTATTTATTTATTTATTACAACCCAATTGCTTAAAGGCAGAACAAACTAGAATACTATTCTAGTATGCTATAAAGAAATAAGGGATCATAAGGATAAAAAAGTTACTGATAACCACTTATTTCTCTTCTATTACAACAGAATTGTTTTTAATCATTTATTCAGACAATTTTGGCTCTTTGTTTCCAGTTACTTTTCATCAGCTTTCTCACAAAAATGGTTTGTTGAAATATTTCCTAAACTGTTCTAATATTATAAGTAATTCTAAAGCAAACTTCAGTATATAGTATGTGATGACTTTCAAGAAATACCTCCAACGATGCAAGATACAGATGCAATAACACTCCAAGATATTATTTACCCAAAGGAGACTTCAAATCGTTATCAGAGATACTTGAATGTCAATGTTTATTGCAGCACTATTCAAAATAGTTAAGTATGAAGCCAATCAAAGTGCATAACAAAACGGATAAAGAAAATGTAACATACAAATAGGATGGATTTTTTTCACCTGTAAAGAAACAATGAAATTATGTGATTTGTAGGATGTAACCGGAAATAATTATATTAAGTAAATTAATCCAGTCTCTCAGAAAGACAAAAGCATTTGTTTTCTCATGTGAGTCTAGATTTTAATTTATATAAAAATATAAAATCATTTTTATATATGATGTGGAAGTAGACATAAACTGTTCAGGGGAACATAGGGATTCAAGACTAAGAAGAAAAGAGGATAAAAAAGGAATATGCTCAGAGGCTTTAATGTGCAACATACACTCTGAACACACATGTCCTTATGTAAAAGGACATGTACAGTAAAAAAATTTTAAGAAATTTTGTGTAAAGGAGTACAGAATTGTACATTGTAAAGGAGTACAATGTCTGCAATGTTGTTTTCCTAAGACTGAAGGAGAAAGAGGTGTGTGTGTGTGTGTGTGTTATGCATGGTGGAGAACACTCTATAGTGGGTAGATGGTGATTAAGAAATGACAACTAAGCAAAATGTAAACGGCAAGTGGATCTGAGGGAAAAGTCCACACTTTTATGATATTACCACTTCTCTGTAAGTTTGAAATTATATTAAAATAAGCTAAGGAACCAAAAGAAGAAAAGAAGAAAAAGAAGAGGAACAAGATAGGCGGGGGGGGGGGGGCGCCAGTCTTTGTTCTAGGAAGTTATAATTTAGTTGAGAAAGTCAATATACAAAAATTCAGCATAATCTTAAAATAATAAAGCATAGGCTACTATTTATTACTATACTAAGTATACAACTTAGTCTAAGGACTGAAAATAATTGTATAATTCTTTAAAAGATGATTTTTTAAAATTATATGTGCATATGTATTACTTTTCCTAAAGTATTTTCCTGGCTTATTCAATTACCTTTTTAAACATATTCTAACCATGATTAATTATTCAATACAAAGAGAAGTTTGACATATTGGAAAAATAATTACTCCTCAGATACTTCAAAGAGACAAAGACTCATTTCTAAATCTTTTTTTTTTTTTTTTTTTTTTTTTTTTA